GTTTTTGTCTCTGATTTGCAAAATTTTGTTCGTATTTCTAAATATTAACTATGAAATCATGGTGGGATATTAATCAGGTATTGATGTTTGATTCCCTCAACGGAAGAACTTGCTTGCATTATGCCGCTTACTATGGCCATTCCGGTTGCCTTCAAGCTATTGTTTCTGCTGCTCGTTCGAGTCCTGTTTCTGTTTCCTGGTTGGTCTCCTTTTACTCTCCACACTGATTCGGTCCCCTCTTTGATTACTCTGGCTATTTGCTTATCGATAACATGAGTTTGTTGGATTGGATTTCAGGGGATTTGCCCGATTTGTGAATATTAGAGACGGTAAAGGAGCAACACCGTTGCATTTGGCAGCACGTCGAAGTAGGCCTGAATGTGTAGATATTCTGTTAGACAACGGGGCTCTTGTGTCTGCTTCAACTGGTAGATATGGGTAAGAATTGTGCTGAAATTCTTAATCCCGATTAATCAGCGGTGTTAGTTCTGTTCTGTACATTGATGAATTTCTTTTTACAGCTTCCCTGGGAGCACTGCACTTCATTTGGCGGCTAGTGGGGGATCTCTGGATTGCATACGGGGATTGTTGGCATGGGGTGCAGATCGTGTTCAAAGAGATTCATCGGGGTATAATTTCATTCCTTTCTAAAATTGAGTAATACTTTCATTTCTTAATTTATATACAAGACTAAATTCTTGAGCTATGTTTTACGTTGTCTCATGGTATAATCATTTTGTTTCACCTTTAAATTGCTCGACTCTTTTCTTGATTAGTACCATCTGAATGGATGATCATGTCCCTTAATGTGATTTTTGAAACTCCATTTGAGCTTATATCTTATGTGCTTTTATATATGCAGGAGAATACCATATATAGTTGCTTTGAAACACAAACACGGAGCTTGTGCGGCCATGCTAAATCCTTCATCAGCTGAGCCTCTTGTGTGGCCAGCACCTTTAAAGTTTATTAATGAGCTTAATCAGGAAGCAAAAGCTCTACTAGAACAGGCCTTAATGGAGGCAAACAGGGAAAGGGAAAGGAACATCTTGAAAGGAACTGCTTACTCTCTTCCATCTCCGTTGCATTCTGATACAGGGATGGATGACAATATATCTGTGGTAATTTCCCACCCTCTCTTTCTTCGTATTCAAGTATGTCTATTAAATAAAGTAGGAGCTTATGGTGGGTTTCGCCCACTTTCTCAATGCTACTCAATAACCAAAAAGAGTTTGATTGAAATCTAACCACCCAATGAAATATCTTTTCTTCTTAATTGTCTACGACATTACATGAGTGAGGTCTATTATTCTAATTTTGGATTGACAAGTTGCTGTCTTGTCCTTTAATTTAGTGTTTCTGAAAGACGGAATCAATGAACTTGGTTGCTTAGACAGAAATTTTTTAAATGTTGTGAATTACCTTGCTCTTTTCTTTTTTTTTTCGGCAGAAGAATTATCTTGTTCTTTAAAATCAGAAGCTGTGTTTCTGATCAAAAATCAGAAGTCATGAGCTTTATTTTCCATACAGTGAGCTGGACCATGAGTCCCATGACAGTTTTCTGAATCCTAACATTAGGAACACTGTACTATTTTGTCTTTGCTTCATTTGTTTTCCTTGGCTACGGTCCCCTTTCGAAGCATTAAATTTTGATCTTGCTGCTGAATTAGATCTTTACTAGTGTAGGATGCACCTCATTTTTTCCTACAGTTTTCGGATTTAGTAGGTCAAGGAGACATTTTCAGCGGTCGTGAATTATAGAGACATTTATCATATTGTTTAATGCACGGGGACCAAAGTATTAATTCAGACGTTTTATTGCAGGAAAGCGATTTAGATCAATGCTGCATATGCTTTGAGCAGGTGTGTACAATTGAAGTCCAGAATTGCGGTCACCAAATGTGTGCACAATGCACTCTAGCTCTCTGCTGCCACAAGAAGCCAAATCCAACTACATTATGCCTTACGCCACCAGTTTGCCCATTCTGCCGAAGCCCAATTGCCCATTTGGTAGTTGCAAAGATCAAAAGTTGTGATGATGGTGATCATGACACCGAAGATAACAATTCCTCCAAACTAAGAAAGGCAAGGAGGTCCCGAAACTTCAGCGAGGGCAGCAGCAGCTTCAAGAGCTTATCGGCACTTGGTTCTTTTGGAAAGATGGGTGGCCATGGCTCAGGAAGGATTATTGCCGGGAATGAATGGGTTGACAAGCCTTGACGCTTGTCGGATTCGTTGCTTTCATGCAAGTGCAAGAGAGAAGAATCCAAGGAGCTGCTGTGTACAGATAAAAGTCCGTGTGTTATGTAGTTTTGGAAAACAAGCAAAGGGAGTTGCAGGCAATTTGGGTTAGGGTTAGTTGCGTTGTGGTCCTCTTAAATTTGTTTACTTGAGGTTCAAGGAACTTATTAGTTGGTGGTTTGAGAGTCTGTTAGATATCTGAATTGGGGAAAGAAAGAATAAAAAAATAAAAAAAAATAAAAAAAAAAAGAGGAGGAAATTATTTTTCTAAGTTGAAAATTCAAAATTCTTGAATGGCTGGTTGGAAAGAGTCAAAGGGTATGTTGCCAAACACTACTCTTTCCTTGCGGAAATGTAATATTATTTTATTTTCATTTTTTTGGTGGCTAGATTGAATTATTTCTGTAGTTTGTGCATAGAAATGGGATTGTAGTGCAAAAAATACAAATAAATAAAAGTCATTTTCTTTTTTTACAATCAGTGTTTGAAATTTCTTTGATAAGGGTAATATTTTCATCGATGTTTCTTACACATCGTTAAATATCAAAAAAGTTTTTATATTTTGTTCTAATTTGACAATCCCTAAAGTTTTATTTTAAATTTCTACGTTTTTACTAAATTTTATCATTTCCTCGAAGGCAAATCAATATTCATGTATTCATAGATATTTTTACAAATTTGCATATTAAAATTTTTACCGATATCAATATTTTAAATACTATTTACAACATTATATTTGGAACTATTTTAATTTATTAGAAATAAGATTTAACCTCAAATGCAAAAGACTTAAATTAGATTTTATTAGAAATACGCGGTTTTAACTGACTGACTTAACTCGCGTCGGTCAACAAATAAAGAAAAAGTGATTGGGAGATTGAATTTCATGTGATTGTGTCTATATTTGATCATATGACTCCAAAATCTAATTTATGAAATTGGACAAGTCAGCTAGATCGCTAACAGAGACAGTTGGATGGGTTAACAGTGAAACATTACCTGCCAAGATGTTGACTAAGAGAAAGACGTTAGGCCTGTGACTATGTGAAAAGACAAGAAATAAGCAGGCCCACTTAAACTATGTGGGCCCTGGATTTCAGTTGGCCCAGCCTTTTGCTTGATATGATTAATTTGGAAATCTACCAAATATCAGATGGATGTGGCCCGTTCGGCTGATTTTTTTTTATCCATTTTATTTCTGTCAGTAAATGATGTCCATTAAAATTATGCATGTATGGACTTTTGGACAGTGTAAGAGTTGAGAGTTTTTTCGGTATGATAGGTACAAGGAGTGATACATTACGTGTTATTATACAAATAGTGGGATATGTATGTTAAAAAGTTGATAACTTAAAAAATAAAATCTCTCACCACTTCTATAAAAACACTTGGTGTACCACCCGTATTCCTATCACAATGAAAAATTTCTTGTAAGAACTGGTTTAGTATCGCTTAAATTTTTTTGAAAGCAGCTTTTAAAAAAGTTGGGGCCTTAATTGTGTTTGGTAGATAAAGAAATTTTTTTATTTTATTTTATTTTTTTAAATTATGAGTCAAAAACAGCAGAAAGTAGAAGAAGCAGGTTTGCACATGCTTCTCATAAAAAAAAAAACGTTTTTCATTTAAGGCAGGTGAACAACACCAATTAATGAAACTTTCATATTGACAAGCCTACCACCATTTCTTTTTTTTTCTTTTTTTTTTTTCGCTAAAAGCACTTTTAGCGCTATATTTTTTACCAGACACTTACTTCTTTTTCACAACTGTTTATTTTCAAACCATAGCTGAAGCAGTTTTGAAAAAAAAAACACAGCAACTCCAAACTAGCCATAAGTCTCATCTGATGGAAACATTGCTACTGACTTGCTTGCTACTTCATAGGTTCCACTTCTCCTTGCAAACAAGTTTGTAAGTATAACGGAATTCACTTTTGTTATAACACGTGAATTTATTTATTAATACATTTTAAGTTCACAACATTATCAAACATTTCATTCTATATTTCAACATTTTGTGTATATGTTTCATTACATTATTGGGTGTAGATCAAGACGAATCTTTATATTTAGGGAACTTTGCTCTAGGTATTGTTCACTTTTAACGAAAAATCACATTTTTACACTAAAAAGTCAATCATGGTACTATTCACTTTACCTTTATTTTGTCTCTATCTTTAAAACTCAAAGTTTTCAAATATTTTTTTATTAATTTTCCTTTATATTTAGGCCTTAATGTCTTTAAATGCCGCAGGCTCCAAACTTATTGTTGGTTTGGACTTTGTGTGTATACTTGTCGTTACGTTATTGGGCTTAGAATGTGTGTTGCCACAATTTTTTTAAACAAAAGATATTATCTACACTAAGGAAGAGGGGGTGGGTTTAGCCTCACAATGGGCTAGCAATAATGTAATTCAAATTCGCATTCGGTAAGAATTGAACCTAAGACCTTTTACTTACAAGTGAAGAGGAATACTACTAGACTGTAGTATTAAGTGGCGTTTTGCAACAATTAGTTAAGCATTAGACACTAAATCGAAGAAATAATAAATTTTTCGAAATACTAATAACAATTTTCTTGTAAGTTCTAGGAAAAATCCTATTTGGGGTTAAATTTAGGAAATGTTGAATAGTAGTAGACACAAATTTTCCTGTTCCCCTAGATATTTCCTAGCCATTTTAGTCAATTGGTAGGACATAGTACCTAGGATACCATCACATTTGGCCCCATAAGTCTTTGTAATCATACTTTTGGAACATAAATTGAAATGATGAACATTTGCTTTTGTAACTTACTTATCATTAAATGAGATTAATCAATCCAAAACACTAGCCAACTGGCGTGAAAAATAGCTTAATTTGCTCCATAAAGGTGAGACAGATACCGATTTCATGCATTTTCTTCTCCATACTAAAAAAAATGTTTGTGATTGTTCCTGAAGAAATGAAATAAAAGATACGGTGAAGCTAGGGTAGTTACCGTACAGGGTATATCCAACGATTGATGCATAGGCAACATGATAGATCGATATGAGCACCCAATAATAGAACTTGGTTGTTGCCGATACTTTCTTCTCGGTTCCTTCTTCTCCTTGTTCCATAATTCGAGCTCGGATGCAATGGAATTGTCAATTGACCTCTTTATTTCTTCCAATAACATGAAATTCTGAATGAGACCCCGAAAAACGAAAGCAAAAGAAACTGAGACATTCGCATAATGCTAGGTCAATGAGAGAGTTGTCAACACATGCATGAAAACAGCATTGATTTTCTTTGGTCGACATGATCTGAACCAAACCGTGGACTAGATTGGGGAGGAGCAACTTGACCATCAACAAAGAGTGAGTTATTTGATTCTCTAGCAGGCTGATGATGCTCAGCTAGGGCAAGCTCGTCGTCTGGTCCGTAAATTGGAGGGTTTGTTCTGTAGTTTTCATTGGCCGCTTGTCTCTCAGCCGCAAGAAAGTGGCCGAGAGATGGCGGATGATTGCGCACGTTCTCATCATCTGTACTGTCTTTGGAGCATAAAGAGAGAAAACAGAGTCTGAATTTGGTGTTGTTGTTGTTGTTGTTGTTGTTCGTCTTCCTGTCCTTGCCGGCCTGATGATCGGTTTTTCTTCCTCTTAGAGATCTTCTTGAGAGCTCTAGGATGTTATTGATTCCTATAAGGCTCCCGAGCGTAATGCTCCTATCATGGAAAAAGGACCCTGTGGACTGAAACCAACCAAGCACATTTTGAATTAACAATCATAGAAAATGTACAAAAACACTTAAACACTGTCGAAGATTATGGAAAACACGATTACAGATCGCAGACCTCCTTCAAATATTTTCTTCATATTTCATATTAAGATCAGGCAACAGCAAGTTACCAACACATGATGTCAGTTAGCAACACATATTGTTAATTAGTAACAGTAACAAATGTAAAATTAGGTCCACAGTGTCAGTATCATCTACAAAACTACAGTGAAAGCGTAGGAACCTCTAAATTTCGAGTCCAAAATTTTTCACAACCCGAAGTATATACCAATCACTTCTAAACCAAATACATACACATATAATATACGGACAGATACACACATGTCATATGTATGACTAGAAAATTCCAACAAAGCCCATCGAAGACAAAACTAGTCTGTAATATATCACTGACCTCTGTGTCCAGATCTGATGAGGAATCTGTGGAGGAAGTTGGAGAACCAGTGAGTAAAGTGTTAAAAGAAACCGACCCAGAAAATTCATGGTTTGAAGCAGCCAGCCCAACTCTCACATGCAATGGCTGCAGTCCCAGTGGCCACCCTTCCTGCCATCCACCAGTCATATCATCCCAATATTATCAATTATTCATAAGCCTCCAACAAATAATGACAAAAAATTAACATGACTGAACAATGTGGCAAGAAAAAAGTAGACCCACAAACCCAGAAAATTATAGGAAAAAAACAAGAAATAAATCAGACCCACCATAGAAATCTAGAGAGAGAGAAATGAGAGGTGGGTTTTGAGCTCAGAGGGGAAAATCCAAGGAGGAAGAGAGAGAGGAGACAAAGGAGTACCTGCTGTTGTTGCTGAGCCATTTGTCTGCAAAGGCCAAAGGAACTGTGTCACCTCCTCAGGTAAATGGAAGTGTCATTTCCTTAAATTTGCATTGCAGCTTTGCTTTTTTCTGAGGTGAATTCTTGCTGGGGTGGTAATATTGGGTAACCCTATATAGAGGTCAGTTCTATGTACAGAAGATTAAGAACAACACCTGGAATGTAGAGAGAGAGAGAGAGAGAGAGAGAGAGTGGACTAATCATTTGTGAGCACTATTTGTTTGCTTTTCTTGGGTCCTGACTCCTGTTGAGTGTTTGACTAGAAAGAGGAAACAGAATCATTTCGTACCCAAGAAAAATTAAAAACAAGAGCATAATTCCAAAAATGGTTCAGAAGCTGCCCTCTGGAAATTATACATCGATATCACCCTTCCCCTACAAGTATAGATTTTTATACTATAAACAGTTCCATTACCCAACTCTATCAATTGCTTGTACAAACTTGTAACGCAGGCGCATTATGTAATGCTAAATGCAGTCGCTTACGCTCAATCAGATGAATTTTAACTGTTCATATAGTATGTTGCATATTCATCAACAGTTGAAAATTACACATTTGCTAATGGGCGACAAACCTATAAACAATAACAAAATCTTCTTTAGAGTCTTTGCAAAGAAAACACACGAACACGGCATGGATGAGAATGGTAAACCCAAGCACAACCCATTGAGTTTGAATCTGATACTTTTCACTTACAAATAATAGTAGTTCGTTTTTCAAGATTCAGATTTTTTTATTGTAGCCATGCAAGCTTTCAAAGTTCAGTGTATAATTAGATGAAATAATGCATTGTAGTTGGTCATAAAATAATTTCTCATCATTAAGATTGTAGAGATCAAATAGAGGGTATTAAATTAATTTGGAAAAAGGAAGACACTTTTGTTTTGTTGGATCATTGGATGGCAATATTAAGTAGTCACACTGCCAATGAGTAGTCCTTTTCTTTTGGTCCACAACGCCTTTTGTCGTGAGACTAAGCCCAATATTTTCCCAACAGGGCCCACAACAATATGACCTGGAGGAAGTAAATGACTTCTTGCTTTGCTCCACGGCGCCCTTTTGTTAAAAGTAATTTTTAGCGTATTCACAAAAAACAGTGTTATTTACATATTAATTTTTACTTTTTACATAATTTTGTTAATTTTTTTATCATTGATCTTTTTCAATTCATCTGGTCCAACGACTGAAAATTAACAGGGTGTATGAAAAATAAAAATAAGTGTGTAGAACCCAAAAAATAGTTGCATGGTGTTACTGTTTTACTCAATTATAACATGTATCCTTGATTTCTATTAATATACCATAGAGGTGAAATATATCAAAATTGTCGTCGACTTATATCATACATGGAATGGTACAACATGTAACTTTTTTTTTCAGTAGTTTTTGTGACATTAACCTATATTTGTTATATCATTAATAGGAGCATAATCACAATATGACACTTGATTTCTCGTGTAAAGTGTGGGTGATTTACTGGACAAGGCTTTTTAAAAAGAGTTGGAACACCTGTTTAGTTTTCCTTCATCCTAAAAGTGAGAACTACAACTAATTAAGACAAGTATATTTTTTAAGGAAAAAAATTTTGAACTGTGATATGAACTTACACACATTTCTTAATTTTTCATATAAACTAAGATTTTGTTGTAGGCTTATTTGATTGAACGATCTAGGGTTTAGAGAGAGAAAGAGGGGAGCCGGCCACAATAAGAGAGAAGAGAGATTGATTTAATTGTGAGGTGTGTATGATTCACCCTATTGTGCCTTTATTTATAGTAGTAGGATAGGTAAAAACATTTCCCTTTAGGATTACAACATTTAATAGGTAATCTAGTCCTAATAGGAATATAAGATACTTTCCCATATCTCCTAGGATTTACACAATCACATTCCTATTCTAACTATGACTGCAACACTTCCCCTTGAGTGTGTAAATACTCAACAAACCATGGCATCAAATCTTCAACATATAAGGTAGAATAGTTGATGAAGTCATCGGACAACGTGTGATCGCGAGTCTCAAATTTAAGTGAAGTATGCATTTGTAGTAAAACTCACAAAACATCGCTATGGTAAAACCCAAGGCATGTGGAAAACCCATAGACTAATGAAAAAAGTGAGAAGTATGCATAATGTCTTTAAACAAATGTCAAACTGGACGAAGGTAGAGAACTCAGCGGAGCATGATTATCCTAGGATGGGTGCCTCATTAAAACCTCGTTAGATAGCAAAAACCCAGTGGGAAAAATGCTCTTAATTGTAGGAAAAAGAGTACATTAAGATCATGTGAGTATGCTTCTAGATACTCCCCCTGAGTTAGACATAACTTCTAAATAAGAGAACTACAAGCGATTCAACTTAGATAATTTATGCATACCAATTCCTTGGACAAGCTTATGAAAAGTAGACTTGGGCAACGACTTGGTGAAGAGATCGGCCAGGTTGTCCTAGGAATGGATTTGCTTGACTTCAATGTTCTAATGCTGCTGTTACTGGTGTAAGTAAAGGAACTTCGGCGCTATGTGTTTGGTGTTGTCTCCCTTGATGCATCCCTTCTTCAGCTGCTCAATACATGTTGCATTGTCTTCAAAGATCGTCGTAGGAATGTTAACGACTGATGTAAGATCACTAGTGCTTCGAATGTGTCCCATAACTTCTCTCAACCAAAAATACTCACACGATGCTTCATGTAGGGCGAGAATCTCAACATGGTTAGACGAAGTTGCAACTAGCGTTTGCTAGATAAACCTCCAAGATATAGCGGTGTCTCCAACAGTAAAGACATAACCTATTTAAGAATGTGCTCTATGTAGGTCAAACATATATCCAGCATTTGAGTAACCAACAAGGCGAGAATCAATTCGAGTACCATAGGGGGCGGCAACATTTGGAGATTCGCGGTTATAGGACAAGCCCAAATCTGTTGTACCTTTGAGGTAGCGAAAAATGTCCTTAACACCATTCCAGTGCCTGCGTGTGGGCGCATTGCTGTATCTAGCCAATAGATTCACAGCGAATGAGATTAGGTTTAGTGCACTGAGCCAAGTACAATAAAGCCCCAATTGCATTTCGGTAAGGAACTTCGGGTTCCAAAATCTTTTCGTCATCCTCCTTTGGGCGGAAGGGATCTCGTTGAGCATCTAGAGTCTGAACGATCATGGGTGCACTTGAAGGCTTCGCTTTATCCTCATTTAAATGACACAACATTTTGGGTGTAGTTCGATTGATGTACTAGGATTCCATCCGAACAATGCTCAATCTCCAGCCCAAGGCAATATCGAGTTTTCCCAAGATCTTTCATCTTAAATTCCGATTTCAAGTGTGTAGCAATTTCCTCAAGCTCTACGGGAGTCCCAATGAGATTCATGTCATCGACATAAACTGCAACGATTGCAAATCCAGAATGTGACTTCTTTATGAACACGCATTGGCATAATTCGTTGTTCACATAACCATGACTTGTCAAATATTAACTCAGATGGTTATACCACATCCGTCCAGATTGTTTCAATCCGTAGAGTGACCTCCTTGACCTAATTAAGAGAGTGTTCCGTGGTCTAGAATTATTTAAGCCAATCAATGGAAGTCATTCTGGAACTTTCATGTTTATTTCCGTATTTAGATTCCTATAGAGATGCGTGGTTACCACGTTCATAAGTTGCATATTTAGTTTTTTTTCGGAAACTACCAAACTAATTAGGTAGTGGAACATTATAACGTCCATTAGGGGGGAATACGTCTCCTCATAATCAATCCCAGGGCGCTGAGAGAAACTTTGTGCTACGATGCGTGCTTTCTATCGCACTATTTCATTCTTTTCATTACACTTCCTCACGACAACCCACTTGTAGGCAATAGGCTTCACGCGTGGTGGTGTAGGAACTATAGGTCCAAATACCTTACGTTTCGCGAACGAATCGAGTTGGAGATGGATTGCTTGTTTCCAGTTTAACCAATCAGTTATACGTCGACATTCATCGACGGAACGTGGTTCAATGTCTCGCTAAGCATGATGTAAGTAGCTACTGAGTACGAGAATACATCGTCGATGATCATCTCATTCCTATTCCAAACCTCATCTAATATTGTGTAGAGGATCGAAATATGACGATTCTCAAAAGGCACCTCTGAACAAATGAGTGAGCGATGGTCGGATTCAAACTAGGGTTACTAGTTGGTGCCATTTTCCTCTTTTAGGGTTGTGAATCCTTTGAACTAAGGGGTATGCCACGTTTCAGGGTAGGAGCAGGTGATTGGCTAACCGCCAATGTACCTTGCCGCGTAGAGGGTGCGGCCTCCCCTCCGGCCTTCCCAGGCGGGTTGTTGACGTACGCAGGTACATCTATCCTTGCAGGTGTGTTTGCAGCGGGTATATGTGATCTTGTCACCTTTGCTAGATCATTAAAAGCATCCGGCATGCTTTGAGCAATGCTCTGAAGATCTATAATTCATCGCACCTCAGTTTCAGACAGGGTAGTGAGGGGATCTAAATGAGACATAGTGGAAGCATACCACGACAATTCGCGGTGTTCTACAGGAACGTTAGCATGCTTATTTTCTCATAACGACGGGAAGACTGTCTCATCAAAGTGACAATCCGCAAAACGTATGGTAAAGAGATATTCCGTCAAAGGTATCAAACAATTGATAGCGAATCATAACCGACATAGATTCCTATTTTTCTCTAAATACCCATTTTGGTATGTAGCGGCGGCATTATTGGCATATAAATGGTGCACCCAAACACCCGTAAATGTGAGACGTCATACTCGTATCTAGTGACCAATTATAACGGTGAATGTGGTTGGGTAACGGTGGGCCTTAGGCGGACCAACATAGCTACGTGCAATATTGCATAGCCCCAGGCAGACACCGGCAGTTTGGTTCTCATAACCAAAGTCTGAGCTATCAATTGAAGGCGCTTCATGAAAGCTTCTGCCAGGCCGTTTTGGGTGTGAACATGGGGCACATGATGTTCCACATCAATCCCTACTGACATGCAATAATTGTCAAAAGTTTGTGACGTAAACTCTACAGCATTATCCAGTCGAATCGACTTGATCATATAATCAGGATGGTGAGCCCTTAGCTTAATGATTTGAGTTATGAGTTTAGCAAACGCGACATTATGTGTGAACAACAAGAAAACATGTGACCATCGTGTCGATGCATCAACCAACAC